CCGCTTCGGAAAGTCGCTGCGCACAGCCGACGAACAGCGCGCGGGCATAGAAGCAGCGGGCTTTATAAACGTCGTGGAGCATCGCTGGAAGTTGCCTGTGGGTGGCTGGCCGGCGGATAAGCGGTTCAAGGAACTGGGGCAGTATAACAGGATTAATTGGGAGCAAGGGATTGAAGGGTGGAGTTTGTATCTGCTTACCACGATTATGGGGTGGACGAAGCAGGAGGTTGAGGTTTATCTTGCGCATATGAGGACGGCGTTGAGGACGAGGGGGATTCATGCTTATCAGGAAGTGTAAGTTGATGGTCTTTGAGTTGGTGGTAATGGTTTGGGTTTTTGCTGACGTGTTGTTTAGGTCCCTGGTTTATGGACAGAAGCCACCGCGGCCAAGGAAGGATGATGATGAATGAGATGGCATGATTAAAAGTAATTGATGAAGAAAATCGAAACGCGATTATAACGTCGTATATGCAGTTCCAATTCCGCGTGATCTGATGAGCTTACTTCCATCTCCAGCGCCCTCGCGACAACGTCGCAATCGCTCGTTTGTCTGACTTGACACCCGGAAGGAAACCAACATTGCGCGTCCATGACGAGCAGCGCTATAGCATCTACGGTGTCTTAAAACCAGCGTACCTACGTAAAGCGTCCTCGTCAGACCAGAAGCTGCTTCTCCCTCAATGAACATGATACTCGAAAAACAGGTTATCGAGTGCAACATCGCCGCCATTGTTCATGTTTACAGGCTTATTCACCGCCGCTGAACCTTGAAGAGAAGTAGGACTGATGATCTCGACCGCGTTGTCCGGCCCATCGCGCTTGCGCACGATTATCCAGCCCGGTAACCCACATACCAGCAAGGCCCGATCGTCGACTTTTGTCTCATCTGAGCAAGCCAACAGGCAAAACGCTCCAGGTATGGCAGAGATGCTGACGTAGCAAATCTTTCGCTTAAGCTCGGCGATCAGGTTGCACAAGCAGATCTGAGTTGTCATAAACTTGCGAAACCATCTAGGCACTTTCTTAGTGCCATCCATCCAGAGACTGAGGTATGCTTCCAGGCTGTCTCTTTTCGACCCGGAAAGAATCTTGCCCCAGCTGGTTCGATCTCTCGGGCTTGGCCATGGAGCCCCGGCGCTAATCGGCACGAGAGCATTGACTGGCTGCGTATAGAAGATGGCGTGGATCTTGCAGCCAATAGCTTTCGCCCAATCTGCCCATTGGAGTATGCTTCGTAGATTCTCCATATGGGCACGTCTTTCATCCGTCTCCAATGCTGTTAGCGTTATCAGGGAGAAGGAAACTGAACCGCAAACGACACCAGTTTCCCTAGCAAGCACCGTCAAGACGCTCTGAGTAGAGTCTAGGGATATCATTTGACGAGCGCGATGCTTGCTGAGTCTATCCTCTGACTCTGGTGAAGTAGCTGTTCCCTGAAGATCGGTCCCTGGGAATCCTGGCAATTCCCGCCAGGTGTTGGTATTGAAGGTAGACCAATCAGGGATCCACGATGGAGTACCTGGTAGCCGTCGCGCAGCGGCGATGTGCAGGAATCTCAGATTGCGGGTCGTTTGGATCAGATGAACAGTGAGCTGTCGATAGAGCAAAGGGATCTGTCGTTCTTTCGCGACGTCATAGTTCGGCGCAGAAAGATCGCTTGCTCCACGTTTTCGTAAGATGGCCCAGATACCGTATGCCATGTCTCTTGGATCGGTAGCTGCTCTTTGGTACAGCGCACCCACCAAGTCGTCGGACGCGGTCTCTTTGATGTCGCCTCGATAGGTTTGATACGTAGGGCGCACCGCGAACCAGAGGAACATGAGACAATATAATGTTCCGAAACAACCGATGAACATAAACGCATTCTCAACCTTGCCCTCAAGTTGAAGACGAACTCCCCACCGGGGATAATTTCGAGCGCAGATGGACACAACACCGACTAAAAGAGACGTCGTTGTGTATGTCAGCAATAGACCAGAGAATGTACTCAGCAACCATCTTCGCGTAGAGAGAATCTTCTTAACGATAGTCTCATGCTCGTGAAGAGTATGAAGCACGCTCCGTTCCGCTGGTTGATTAATCGACTGCAGGTTCCCCCTGTCAAAGACGATGGCCTCCCAAGCAATAGCAGCCCTCGGAAAGTATCGGAACGAAGTTCTTAGGGAGAGAAGTGTCCACTCGAAGTCAGACCACCGCACGTGTTCAGTTCCACACACAATCACTGGGTGAGAGGCCAGCAGGATCTCTTGATAAGTCCACAGTCGGTTCTTCCACGGCCGGTCGAAAACGTAGACGAGATCCATCCCTGAGACGTACTGCACCCGGCGGGTAAACCTAGCCAGTAAAGGCTTATTATTCCCTGTCTACGTTAGTCTAACACACTTGGTAGACAGGTGGGTACTCGCCCCAAAACGGTTCCGGGTGGTGCGTGAGACTCCAAGAGGAAAGCCCAAGACGCAACGCTGCAACAAAATGTCGATACTGCGGTGGTCCATTCGGCACGATTTTCACATATCTACGAAGTCCGCCCTTCGCCAGATATCTCATGACGCGGTCGGATTTCTCATCACCCGTCCCCAACCAGACATATACTTGCTTAGCCTTTGAGTAGATATCTCCCATGAGAGGAAGCTGCCACGCTTTCTCCTTTCTCACGTCTTCTTGGTCGATGCAAATCGCGTCTACCCAGATGACGAGACCCTGCAGCTTCTTACTGAGGTGCCACAAGGCTGAATGACAATTCTCGCCTACACCGAACACAACGCCGTCGCATATGATGCTGCGCGTGGGAGTTGGGTCGCCCCATACGTATGATAATGCTGTGAAACCAGGATTAAGATCGAGATCGATGATGCGTAGAGCGCATTCGACCGGTGTGTCCTTGGTGGCATCTTGGGCGATCGGTCGCACGTCGAGAACGCGTATGGTTCTTGTATTTGGACAAAGAGCATGCTTTTCGTACACGGCTTGCTTTTTTGATGAACTGTTTTCGGCTTGCTCTACACATGAGACCGCATCGGCCATTGTTGGTGATACACTGAGCGTGCAAGGCTGAGATGTAGGTAGGGCAAAACTTCGAGATGGTATGGAAGTAGAGTGGCAGCTTTGCTGCTAGATTAAATTGAACGTTCCCCAGAAGCGAAAAGAATAAGCTGTGCGACGCAATGTTGCAAAGAATGAAGACAATGAAGTAGTGTACTGTCGCAAAGGACTTCAGCAAGCAAGGCTGAGAAACACTAGTGACAGCCTAGTCTGCCTACGTGCACACCACCAGCACTTTACCCGGCGACTATTGTATAATTAGAACCGTGTGGCTGTATTCGTATTTCTCGCAGTAATGACTGGATAGAATAGAGCTTGTATGTTCAGGCGTCTTGTCGATTGACTACTGGGCTCGCGGTGTGAGCTTTTACATCTGTCCTGGCTCACACAAGCCAGCGTGAGAAGTAACGAATATAAAGCCTCGTTAGAAGGTCTTCGTGTAATAGTTCTCAACAGAATCTCAATATCCAGGTCAACGCTAACACGACCCACGTAGCGACAATATAGAGAGCTTGAGCGCTGTCCAGAGAAAGCCAGATCGTGTCGCAGCAGCGTGTCGTGCCTTAGACCTAAGTAAAGTAGAGTGACAAACATGAATTTACCTTTTTGCAAACAGCAAGAGGCTGAAGCCTATTTCACTGTTGTCCTGAGCAGTTTTGCACGGGTCGCGTGCTCTCGCGAGTCGCTCCTGCTACCTGCCTGCGTTTGCATTTGGGGCGACGGGCGTGCGAGGCAGCATGAGAGTCTGAGCGCACGGGACCAAGCACTGATATACACCACGTGAGTGCGATATAAGAGCGGAGAGAGATAAGAGCAAAACAGGATGACAAAAAGTCGTTCTCAGAAACGTTGAAGTCGAGTGTGCAGAGAGGGTTTGCGTTAGGAGCAGCCGATAGCGGCCGGTGCAACAACCACCGCCGCTAATATTCTCGCCGAATAACAAGACCTAGCCCGACAACATCATACATACCACTCAAGAGACCCAATAGTACATTACTCACCCAGCTCACCAACCATTCGCGCCATACTTCCATTGCCCGGGCGTTATCTTCCTTATCTCGAAGATTTGTTATTAGTGGGTCAAGACGCAACATCCGACGGAAGCAGGGTTCCGGAGCGCAAAATGTGCCGACAGGCAAGATCTACCATTGTATCGACGCAGCGGATGTGACGTGACAACTACTAATACGATGAAAGCACTATCCGCGTGCCCTCCGATATTCTGAGATGAGGAAGTCTTGACGACCAGCCAGCTCACAGATGGCTGGGACGCGAAAGCCAACACAGTGCGATGACCTTTCCGAAGATGGCTTTGCGGAGCAAAAACGAAGCATGGGTGCTAAATAGGGACGGCCGCAAGTCCAGCAAGACTGGGTGTTGATGATTGCGAAAGAGAAGGTGTAGGAGAATAGGTTTGTCCGAGAAGTCGAAGCATGCCCAAAGTACTCAGGTACAGTAAACGGCAAGTATTGACGCGGAAGGATCATGATCCCTCACACACTAGTATAATTGCGCAAGAAAGCCCTGAAGCGATCCGATGAACTCTTCCGTCGGATCTTCCGTGTCGGCTACGTATCGCGTATTGACGTTACACAGACATCCTCCGGCTACGCAACTTCGCCAACTTCCAACTTCGGTCATGAGCAGCAGGTCTTATCACCTCAGTTTGCATGAACTCTGCAACGATATTGGTGCCTGCTACTCACACACAGCCATCTACAGATAAGACAGTTCCGATTTTGCAAGGCTCGCATCAGGCGTGTGGCTCGAGACGGATCGGGATGCTGCAGAGTAGGAGCTGGATATGGTGTTTGTACGATATATTAGAAAGGCATCTTCCATTATCATGAACCTCATACTCGTCTTTTAGATTTCTTGACACTATCTTCCGTTGTGCATACTATACCCAACCCCTCAGCGATCCATCCCTCCCCAAAACCAACATAAACCTTACAACCATGGGCTCAACAGAAGCCGCCAGCTGGAGACCCCTAAGCGTAGGCATAATCGGCGGAGGCATCGGCGGCCTCTCATGCGCCATCGCACTCCGGCGCGCCGGCCACACCGTCACAATCTACGAGCGCAACGACTTCGCCGGCGAAGCAGGCGCATCCGTCTCCTGCGCCGCCAACGGCACGCGCTGGCTCCACGAATGGGGTGTCGATGTAGAGAAAGGCGATCCTGTTGTGTTGAAGAAGCTCATCAATCGGGACTGGACGACGGGGGAGCCGGTTAGCGTTTACGATCTTGATGACTATGAGGAGCGGTGGGGTTATGTGTATAATATGTTTCATCGGCAGTATATGCATAAGATGCTTATGGAGTGTGCGCTGCAGGAGGAGGGTGAGGGGACGCCAGTGAAGTTGTTGGTGAATCATCCGGTAAGATACGATCTTTCTCTTCGCATGAATGTGCTAACGAGAAGTTGCAGTGCAAAAGTATAGACCTCCCAACCAACCAAATCACCTTCTCCAACAACACCACCGTCCACCACGACCTCATCATCGGCGCCGACGGCATCGGCTCCGTCACCCGCAAGATCATTGGCCTGAACCCCGAGAAACGCCCCGCAGAATCCAGCTGCCTACACGCCAACGTTCTTCGAAAAGACATCCAAAAACTCGGTCTAGAAGACTACTCCCTCAACAGCGCACTAGAGTACTGGGGCGGCCAGGAGGGCAAGTGGGACAAGATCGTCCTCTCACCTTGCAACGGCGGCGAACTTCTCTCATATTACTGCTTCTTTCCTCGCGAGAAAGGCGACTATGCGAATCAGACGTGGGGAGGCGCCGATTTGCCTGTGGAGGAACTGCTTGCTCCGTACCCTGAGCTCGATGAGAAGGTGAAAGCTCATCTTGCTATTGGTATCGAGGTGAGGCCGTGGCGGCTTTGGGTTCATCAGCCCTATCCGTATGTTGTCAAGGGCTGTGTCGCGTTGATTGGCGATGCTGCACATCCGGTAAGAGACTATCATCCCTACACCATCCCATTCTTAGGTATCGGAACTGATTTGCGTTTCTCAGATGATGCCCCATCAAAGTCAAGGCGCTTGCATGGCGATAGAAGACGCAGCTGCCCTGGGCATTCTCTTCAGCAAGAACTACTTCCGAGGAAATGTGCAGGAGTCGCTCGCAGTCTACGAGAAAGTCAGACTACCTCGCGCGACAAAAGTTCAGGCTTCAGCTGCCAAAGCAGCGTCCAATATCAACGAACGCATTGGTATGTATCTTAGCATCAGCATCCATTTCGAAGGACGAGTACTAACGGAAGGATTTGTAGGCTTCAGCAGCAACACATCAATGGCGAACTACAAGGTAGAGGACGAGGCGAAGAAGTTGACGATCGAGGAGATGAACGCATACGATATGTACAAGGATATCGACCAAGCTTTTGCGGAGATGGATGGAGTTGCATACACCGACAGATACGTAAGAGGGTTGCCTTTTGGGCTGCGGTTGTCGAACGGGGTTCAAATTGCTGGCAATGCCAGACTGTAGGTTTGGAAGATAGATTTGAGGACTGCATATGTATAGCGTCAAAACATGTATGACCACATCGACGTATTCCTCCACCACTCTATTTGTTCAGCTCCTCAGCCCTCTTCTTGAGGTCCTCCTTGCTCTCCGCCTTGGGCATGTTGTCTGGGATGGCTGGGCCCTATAAATGCATTAGCTTCCGTTCCGACTCAGGTGCATAACAACGGCACGCGAATAGCATACCTTGGAGTTGTGAGCTGAAGCGCCTAGGCTTCCGCCCTCGGCGTGGTTGTCGTGCGAGGATGCGGTCGAGTCGGAGGACTCCTTTGCGATCTTGTCGGTGAGGCCTGTGGGGATGACGCGTTAGTTATGGCTTGATCAGGCTGGGTGGTGTGGTGGATGGTAGGAGAAGGTTGTCACGTACTGCCAGCGGCGCCCTGCTCAATTGGGTGGTCCGGCATGTTTGTTTAGGTTGATGTGGTAACTTGTTGCTTCTGTCGTCGAGGTTTCGGTCCGCCGATGTAAAGGAATCCTTTAACGTAGGCGTCTACTTTGTCTTCACGGGTCTGTTCCTTCACGTCGAGGTTCTTGACGTCCTGTTCGAGTGCGGCTGTCTCGTTGACTTTGCTGTCGGGCAGGTCGCGGAGGTTGGGAAGTTTATTGTAAAGGGCTTGTATCTCCTCAGAGTAGGCTTGCAGTTCGGCGATAGAGGGGGTTGAAGACATGGCTGGTTATGTAGGCCTAGGCGTTGTAGCAAGCGGGTAGTGCGTGATCGGTGACGTAGATGAGTGTGGCAGGCCCGCGGCTGGAAGCTGGCTGGAAGGGGAAGCTGCCGCTGGGTGGTGGGGGAGGGGCAGCCCTTGGCACCTGGGAACTTTGGTTCTGTGGACGCGGCCAGCACCGTCCAAGACTACTGTGGAGAGGTCGGTGGGTAAACAAGATATCTTGCATGCCTATCACGGATCCTGTGTCGGCGGCTTCTCCGTGGTAGATGCTGGAGGTGGTTGGGTCACGTGTTCGTCCAACAAGCCAGCGTGTATTTCCTTCAAGAAGGATATTGCTGCACACGCCGAGATGGTAAGGGACGCGTAACTGTGCTGGGCGTTAACGTAGACTTCGTGTTATACGATGCACCATCGGCGTACCTAACCACAATCCAAATGAACCTGGAAGAGGTATGTTCTTTGAAGGCCTTGGAATTGAACTGCACCCCAACTACATTGACGCTCAGTATGTCTTCGCAAACACCTACCAAGGGATACTGAACCTACTGTAGAACATCTGCTTTACCGTTTGTACGACAAAAGCGAGGAGACCACATAAAGCTATCTGTGGAGCGAACCGACCGGTGACGCACCTGCTTTCCAATGTCGAACGCAGTGCGCCCGGCCGAGCAAGCTGGCACAAGTAGGCTAGGTGAAGGTTCATCTCGAAGCAGCTGATGCTGGTCTTGGTCAATAAGACAGTATCGCCTTGTACGCATGCTTGCGCTCCGTATAGGTTATCAAGAGCAGCCCATTGTGCCATGGGTTTGAAGAAAGGCGCATGCCATCTGCCACCGGGCAAGCTGTGAGGGCGCAGGCAGACGTAGAGCATATCATACCACCCACTCAACAAGCTCACGAGACACCAGACAGCAATCCAATTTCGGAGTTCATGAGTAAAGGGCATTATTGATGTGGAATAGATGGAACGGCATGACACCTAAGGAGACGACGTGCTCTACATATGTCAACGTCGGATATCGGATGGAAGTGCACGCCCTCTGCCGTTCTTGCCGGATGGTACCTGTTGAACGCGTAGTACACTACAAGCTTTGGAAAAGACGATCGTGCCATGCAACCGGAATGGCATGCGAGGATCTGGATTTGTTGACGTTCGGCGTTCTCTTGTTGATGGCATGCCGCGAGGCGTCACCAGCATTGCGTACTCTCTCCCCGCTGTCAACTCCACTCCGCGCCATATGATTGCCAACCATGGTAAAGCTACTGCGCGCGATCGAAATGCGACGACACAATCTTGCACTCGGGTCTGAATACGATAGCGCCACGATAGGCTTTGCGGGGAAGAAGCGCAGTATTGATGCGAAACGCGGATTAGCGGCTAACTCAGCCACGGCGACCGCGTCGGCATGGGTGCTTGGCCATGTCCCGCCCCTTCCAAGCTTCACGGCCGTTTCGCCTTTGGCACCCAGCGTCATTCCAGGGGACGTCAAAGCAAGCGATGCACCACCACATGACCCGGACACTCACGCCTCGCCTTGTACTTCCTCCTTGATGCCGTGAACTCCTGTAGCGACATGAGGCACGTCCTGTCCCGTCGATCGTTATATCCCCATCCATAGCCATATACCCCGGCCGGCCTCTGCACCGCGAACGACTCCCTTAAACCCGCTGGACGGAAGACTTGAACACTCGATATCGCCATGCCGTCGCTACTCGTCCACTCGCTGTTTGCGCGCCAGAATCCGCTGGATGAGGCCAAGAACACGCTCAGTTCATGGGACAACTGCATGGCCAAGGCCTACTGCAAGTGCGTTGAATTGCCAGGCCTCAGGCTGCTTCCCCTTTGCTCACAGACAACAGATGGCCGGTCATCGTCGTAATCATCATTGGCGCTCTCATCGTCATATCCGTGGTTACCTGCATAGCGCGATGCATATGCTGCGGCGCCGAGTGCGCGTGTTGCTGCTTTAGATGCTGCACGTGCTGCTGCAGCGGCAGTGGTGGAAGAGGCCACAAGCGCGTCAAGAGCGATCCCGCCGCCCCATACCCCACGCCATATGGAGCGCCTCCTCCGCCCATGAACCCCTACGCCCAGGCGCATGCCGCTGCGCCGCCTCCTCCGCCTATCGACACCCGCCCGGTGAACCAGCAGTATCGCTCCAATGCCATGCCCACCTTCGCGCCAGCCGCGCAGCCCGAGAGACCGCAATTCGCGACATTCGATTCGACACGAGCCGTCGTCAACGAAGATTCGCTTCCCGCAATGCCCACGTGGAAAGACGGGCGCGACGTACATGTCCAAGTCGAGGAACAACCCATGCCCCAGAAGCAAGGCGACATGGAGATGGATAGGCTAGACCGCAACGGCAGTCCAATAAGCGGATCAATGGGAGGTGTAGCAGCGGCGGCTGTGCCCACACAAAGACGATCGCCTGGCACGGGCCGGTCCCCAGTGTCGCCAATGGACAACTACGGCCAGGGCTACCCTCAAAGCGGCTATCAAAACGATTCATTCGTCAGCGAAGGAGCCCCGTTGAACGGCCAGGGTGCATACGGCCGACCATACGCGCAGCAGGACGACTACCGCAGAGGTTCGCCAGGGCACAACCTATCACCAGTCTACAGCGCAAACGAAGGATACGCACCACAGCAGCAGCAACAGCCTTACGGCCGCCGCTCGCCAGGCGCGCCCCAAGCCTACGACTCCCACGACCAGCTCAGTCAATACAACCAGCAATCTTCTTACAACCAGCAACCTTCTTACAACCAACAATCCTCCTACAATCAACCACAAACCTACGACCAGCGCAACTACTACGACGAACCCGACCACCGCCACCAATCCCCCTCCCCACCCGCCGCAAACCCCTACGCCTACAACAGCGATCCATCCCCGTCGTACGATACCTACACGCCCCCGCCAGCACCCGCAGCGTTGCAGCCCGGCTACGCAGCCTCCGAGTCCACAAACCATGGCTCTTTTACAAATGCGGCACCGGCATATCCGGGGCAGAGATCGTATACGCCTGTGGCGGGGAGTGTGGGACAGCAGCAGCAGCCATATCGCGCTTTTACACCGGGCGCGGAACAGCAACAACAACAACCGCAGCAGCAGTATACTGGGGTTAGTAGGAAGCCTGTTGAAGGGTCCTTTAGGGAAATATAGAAATAAGATGTTTGTTTTCGTATTTAGGGAGAATGTGATACCCATATAAAGATTGTGTGTCTTGTGCTTGGCGGTTTGTGAGCTGAATCTCTGCAAGCCGCTCGTGCTGTCTTTTCAACATCAAGGTCTTAGATAACACCGGTAAAGAAGAGAGCGTGCCATGGCCATACCATGCAGGTGTCCTATACACCGGGCAACTCTGGTCGTCCTTGTCAGAGTTCAAGCTCTTAGCTCATTCGGTCAGGGTCTAATGGTCTTCTTCGCAATGCAACGACGAGAGGTAAAGTAAATAGTCACCAATAACTTCGGCAGTGCACCTGAGAGAGGCAAGCGGGGCCGCGGCTGAGATGCGCAGCCAAGCGCAGCCTGTCAGCCTGGTGCGCAGCACATGAGCTCTTGTTCAGCCTGACGGTTCACCCAGCAGCCTGCTTCTACCTTTTCATTCTTTGCTTCCTCATCTTCATCAGACGATACTCTATAATTTGCTGACCCTCATACCTACATGACGCCAAATCGAGCCACACAGCAACCCCAGCCGCACCCCTGATCACCACGATGTTGAACTCTTGACCACGCTCTGGCTTACCAACAACTTCGCCATACGGCGTCAGCTTTGGCTTGAAGCTACCTGTCCTACAGCTTGCGGGCAACAACCATGTCCAAAGCTCTAGCTAAAGCTGGATCGCTCAGTCCCGAAATTCGCCTCGCTCAAGCTGTCTCTGAATTTGAAGCCGACCTGTCAAGCGAACAAAAGTCCGCATTTCGTACCCTGAAGTCGCAGACGCTTTTGGCGACACCCACACCAAGCGATGTCATGCGACTGACCGCCGAGATTGACCGCCGCATGTCCAACAAATTTAGCAATCGATGCTTCGGTCCGCGCTTTACCAATTTTCTCCAAGCTGTTCAGCAGTTCGCTGCGCTTGGGGATATCGTGGTTGGAAGCTCACAGAACCCGATCGCGTGTGGCGTGTGGTCATTGGTACGCATGTCGATATTGGTGAGTAATTGTTGTTGTATCCATGTTCACGTCAGTTACTGATGGTACACAGTCGTTTGTGAGCGTGTCAAACCACGTAGAGAAGCTATCATCGATATTCATGGACCTTGGTCGCTCTTGTCCACGCCATCAGGAAATTGCTGTGCTCTACCCACTCTCTAAAAAGCTACAGGTCTACATCCTCGAATATTTCATCGTGGTCGTTGCTCTGTGTCATTACTTGCTCAGGTTTGGCCAAAAGTCCGCTCTCCAGCAGTTCACATCATCATTGAGTGGAGGAGAATTGAAAACGTTTCAATATGACCTCGAGAAATGGGCACACTCGATCGAAAAAGAGATGCAAGTCAGTGAATTTCAACAAAGCTCTGGGTTTAGAGCATTATCCCGATCAATGTTCGACTCCACATTGTACCAACGAAAACTTGCGGCAAGAAAGCAGGTGCTCGACCTCTGCTCCATGTACGATTACGAAACAGTTTGGAAGCAGACAAGGAAGGTCGGGAATACATCGCTCTTTACACGTTTCGACGAATATAGAGAGTGGAGGGATAGCTTACAAACTTGCACCATAGTATTCACTGGCAAGTTAGGGTCGGGAAAGTCCGTGTTGCTAGCCAACATCGTGGACGATCTCAGCCTCTCTACCGAAAGAGATAGACCCTTGGTAGCATACTTCTTCTGCAGACACGATCTACCCGAGAGTCTGCAAGCACGCACCATTCTTGGCTCACTAGTGCGACAAATGCTGCGGAGTATTGCTGACTTCGACAAACTTTCAGATGTATGCCAAGATAGACATACCACCGAAGACGTTGACAAGATACTAGAGATAGTTCTCCAGGCTTATCCCCCTACCTATAAAACATTTCTCGTAGTAGATGGACTGGACGAGTGCAGCGAAGGAGAAATAGCGACGCTGGTACAAGCGGTGAGGGCCATCCAAGCAAAGCTAAAGGTCTTCATTTGTGCGTCTTTCCGGGTAGAGCCAAACAAGGGTTAGTGAAATCCCTGTATGAATTGTATGCGAGGAGAATACTGACCTGGTAAACGCAATTTTAGGTCTACAGTCGATGACACGTCGCCTCCTGGATGCCCGCATAGTTCAGTTACCCGAAAGCAACCCAGACATCGAGACCTTCATCGAAGCAGAGCTCTATCGTTGTCTGGACGAAGATCTTCTAAACATCAGAGATTCTACACTGATATTGGACATCCAAGAGTCGCTCCTTCAGCGCTCCCAAGGCATGTTCCTTTGGGCGGCTCTTCAGATCCAGTCTTTGTGTAGTATGAAGACTGATCATGCCATTCGCGAAGCCCTGGCAGACCTGCCCAAAGACCTTGCGCAAACCTCTTCCCCGCATCTTACACAAATCAGGAGCCTCGGATCCGTCGCTCCAAGCAAAGATACTGGAGGTCGTATTGGCAGCTTGCCGACCTCTGACAACTGAGGAGTTGAGAGAAGCCTTAAGCGTCGATCCCGGACATGCAGTATGGGATCCGTCTAAGATGTTGAACGATGTGCAGTCAGCCCTAGCCTGCTGCGGATGTCTTCTTACTGTCGATGAGGAAGAGTCGACTGTCCGAGTCATACATCACAGCGTCAAGCAATACATTCTTCATGGTCTTGACGACGTGAAGTACATGGGTTTCTCTGTTGGAAGAGCACACGGAACGTTGGCGGATATCATTGTTACCTATCTTGGGTACGGTGTTTTCGAAACCCAACTTGAGAGAAACCATGCCCATCCGATCTTAGCACAAGCAGTGCCGTCTACGGTCATGCGAAACACCGTGGGCGGCTCGAGCTCCGCTCGGCAACTTGCTATGAAGCTTCTCAAGTCCAAGAAGCAACCCGCATTTGACTTGAGCAAGACGGTTGCTGAAGCTCGTGGTCATTCGTACTCTGAGCCCCAGGACGGATTCAAGTTCTTTGGTTATGCGAATACCAATTGGCAGAATCATATTCCATACGTTACAAGTCGAGCTGATGCTATCTGCGAACTTGCAACTACACTGATTCGGAGTCGATATCCAGAGCTGGAAACGACGAATGCAGATTCTGATTTGTATTGGAGCTTCGCTGCCACCACGCATCAAGATACAAGAATTCTCGAATTGCTGATGCTGCAATCTCAGAAGATGAAGCTGTGTGCACAAAAGACATTGGTGTTGCTAGTGAGAACCGGAGACAAGGACACTATCAAAGTACTACTGAACGCTGGCGTTGATGCAAATAGCAATCGCGACGGAGCACCTCCGATAATCGTTCTGGCAGCGAGCAATGGAGACAGTATCATGATTAAGTTCCTACTCAGTTTCAGTACGGTTGACGTCAATGCCGGCGACTGGTTCGGGGATACCGCAGTGAAAAAGGCCGTAGAGGTGGAAAACGAACACATCATCAAGCTACTTCTCAGCTCTGACAGGATAGATGTCAACGTGAAGAACAATATCGGGAACACTGTATTACTGCAGGCCATAGACACTGGAAATGCGGGCATTATTAAGCTATTGATCAACGACGATAAGATTGACGTCAACGCGCAAAGCAATTCTGGGAGTACAGCACTACTCAAAGCTGTGAAATATGGAGATGAGAAGATCGTCAGACTGCTACTGGGTATCCGCAACATTGACGTCAATGCGAGAGACATAGACGGGAAGACTGCATTAATGCACGCGACGTGTAAGAGGAACAAGGACATGATGAAGCTGCTGCTTGGAAGCAAGAGCGTCGATGTTAATATCAAGGATGATACTGGAAGAACGGCGTTACTAGATGCAGCAAGTAAAGGATACAGCGACGTAGTCAAGCTGATGCTGACAAGCAAAAACATCGAAGTCAACACAGCGGACAATACAGGGTGGACGCCACTGATGTATGCAGCATTCCACGGAAAGATAGAAGTGGTCCGGCTGCTTCTTACTAGTCGCAAGATAGACGTCAATGTGAAGGGGCAATATCACGTTACGGCGTTGACTTTAGCGGTAAGCAAGAGTCATCAAGATGTTGTTGAGCTGCTGGTACTTTCACGCCACTAGGGTTAGCTACAATTCATATCGCACGTTGCTGAATACATATTACCAAATCCTGATAACCTGTCAGTCTCCAAGTCAACGTAGACGTCTAGCTTAACCGTATAGTCAATACTACCTAGGTATGTTTGTAGAATGCTTGCGACACTAATGGTAGCTACCTCTATCGGCAGCAAAAGTCAACAGCAGCGGCTTAAGCAGCTTGCAACAAGCAGACGTTTCTACGGTTATCAAAGACTCTTTAACATTCATGGTCACCACATATGCGAACTCAGCGCGTCTTTATATACCACTACTCTAGATACATCAACCCGCTCGCAAACATTTGTGCTCTGTATCCACGGGCAGCTGCATATCATTCTCTTAGTGTCTCTCAATGTATTGATCACGCCTTGACCATGGATCGCAACACTGAAAGTCAGCATAATACCTTCTAAACTACCTGACGACTAGAAGCTAGAAATAGCGACCCTGAAGCCTCCTGTCTGTCGATCCTATGTACCGTCGCAGGTGCAAGCTAGACTGTCGACGTTCCAACCAAGGCCAGAGCATTCGCTGGCTCCAAAGACGGCATGTTGTAGGCAATCTCTGATCACGTGTCTTGATCATATTGGGAACTTTGCAAAGTAAACCATCGTTCAGATACTGTATTTAGTTACTGGCGGTAAACGGTTGACGTTGAAGATGTTGCGTGTTGATTGAGGTCCCTGCGCCGCTACCTAGCGAAGACGATGAGAAAGTCCGTCGCATCCCGAGGTCTCGTTCACCGTTAGGAGCAAAGGTCAACAACGCGTAAACTATAACACGTAGCTTCTTTTCAGGATACATGGTATCAAAGAGACCTTACATGGGCCAAACAAGCAAGCATCAGATATAGAGAGGATTAGATTAGTGGAAGGTGCATAAGGCACACACTCAATTCTAAGCGGCGATCGAATCATATCATGCTGCATTATAGAATAAGGCCCTCCCGAGCATGGTAGATTCTTAACACTACTAGAGGGAACTGGAATGTATTATACATCTTGCTGCATACATACTATTGAATGTCAAGAAGTGAGCAGTTGTTAAGATGATGTAGACGTCTACCCGTATAGTTTTTCCAATAGCGTTTCTATGAAATGCGACACAAAGTGTAGCTACCCTAGCAAGACATGCAGAGTGATTGGAATGTATGAGATGTATGGGCTTTCTTGTTACCAAATAAGTTCGGTGGCTGTTGCCGAGCTGACCAATTCCTCGTCAGTGGCTTCGATTGTCTGCAGAGTGGGTATCCTGAAGAGTATCAGATCCTGGGCCGTTGGCTTTCCAATTTTGATGCTCGAAAGCATTTTTCTAATTTTCAAATCCATCTTTCGGTACATCTTCATTTCATGCTTGAGTTCATGCCTGTGACGGCAACGCAGAGGTATGATCTTCAGTGAAAGCCCCGGTCGGGCGCTTAGCGCTAGTCGTGTGATGTCCTTCACAAGGTCCCATTCATACACCATGTAACCCACGAAGTCGCCATCATCTTCGTCGTCGGGAAACAACACACGTATGCTGATTTCGCAGGTCCTTTTTCGTTCCATTCTTCTCAAAGTGTGCCCTACGAATGGATGCAGTTCCTCGGCTGTGCACTCTCTTTGATTGTGGACATTACTATCATCGCCCAGGCTAGGATTCTGAAGCAGTTCCGGCAGGATGATTTCGTTATACCAGGATGCGAGGACGAAACTGATGAGTTTGGTTCCGTCGTCGTCCCCCGGTTTCTGGTGTTGGGCTAACAATGTACAGCGTTGTCTCCTAGCCTCGTGGAATATGTCTGATATCAAGGTGAACATAACCTCCCTTGCGGTAGACCTAGGTACTGGGCCGATTGTAACTTTAGGTGACTTCTGCATATTCCTCGTTCTCAAGTGTTGTTGAGCCTCGTCGAGAATCGTCTTGTTCACTTGAAGTAGGGCGGTCGGCATTCGAAGTTCTGCCCAGGTGCCGATACCTGGCGTGGGGAATACATGTTTGAAAACACGCTCGGGGAAGTAGTCGTAGATGTAACAGCGCAGTTCGGTTGGTAAGGCCATCAACAGAGACTTATCTGTATTCTGCATGGTGCAAGTGGCCATGTGGAGACCTTGGGGGTAGAGTTGTGGTACGGGCGGCGCTGTTTCTTGAGTGCAGTGTCGCTGGTGTTGAAGGCGGCGGTGAAGACGGAGATGAAGACGAGGACGCTGTTTTATACTTATTGAAAATCTGCTGTCGCATTTGTGTGGCTGACCCATTTGAAATGCTCGATACTACAGTCACCGGTCTGTTGCTACGATCTGTGGTTGGCCTGTGTCGTTCGCGGGCGAAGCAGCACCAAACCATGGATTAGGATTACCATCGACTTGACTACGATCACGCAGAGCGGGACGAGCCACTTACATATTGCGCAAAGTCAATTAGCTACGCAGTCAGACGCACGAGAGAGTCTAGGTAGGTTACAATGAGGTGGCTTGTTCGAAGACAAGGTGCCCAGGTGAACTTTCGAGGTGGGCTTATGATGGTGTGACCTGTGATTCCGAAGTTCCGAACCTTCGGGAGATTGGCAGCCAATCAGCACGTGCTTTATAATCGTGTCAAATTGCCCCGGAAATCGCCGCGGATGACATAGGCTTCGGCGAATTTAGTGACAATGCACCAGCCGTACCTTGCCATCTATTCACTCAACACGCGCGCCTTACCAAGTCCACGCACAGCACTCCTTGGACCTCTCGCCCTTTGACCATGTCGCTGCCTCGAACCACAACTGCCTTTGCGCGCTCCGGCTCGACATTCCTACGATTCGCCGCCCCCTCGGCTACTCCCCGCAGATGCCCGCAATGCGCGCGCACTTTCGCCTCGTCGATACCGTATCGACAGTCAGCTAAGCGCCAGATGCAGACGGCGACTGCATACCACCCTTCGTCGCTATACCCCCAGCCGCCACCAAGGAACGCTGGCGTACCCGACACATCGATAGCTGGTGGAGCAGCCGAGGCAAACAATGCGAAGACCCCACAACTACCACCGCAAGAACACATCCCCGCGACACCTTCCGAGCAACCGAACGTTAGCATACCCGAAGGCGAAGCACAGAAGACACAGCAGGTAGCGGGTGCCAGCAAGCCGTTACGGCCGCGTCGCTACAACTTCGGGCCACGGAAGGCGACCATCAAGCTATCACAGTCGGCAGTATCCCACCTCCGCGAACTCCTTGAGCTACCAGAGCCTAAGCTTATCCGGATTGGCACAAAGGCAAAGGGCTGCTCGGGGCTGGCATATCACTTGGAGTACGTGGACAAGCCAAGCCCGCTGGACGAGCAGGTTGAGCAGGATGGCGTCAAGGTCCTGATCGACAACAAGGCGCTTTTGAACATCATTGGAAGCGAGATGGACTGGCTGGAAGACAAGCTGAACGAGCGCTTCATCTTCAAGAACCCCAACATCAGTAAGCATCCACACAATGTACTACGAGGGACCAAAACTAACATCTTGCAGCGGAGCAATGTGGCTGCGGAGAGTCCTTCAGCGTATCATGATACCCTAACGATTCGATCACTATACCTTATAGAAGCATTTCCGGCGTTGCATCTTCGGCGTTACACATACATATGACATAATTGGAATATCATTACCACCACCGGTAGCACGATTGCTACTTGGCTTCTCCACGTACCTGCAATACACTCGCGACACTATCATTGCAAGTGCAACAACAGCGCTGTCTGGAGACCATCAGACCTGCACGAGTCGGCAGCATACTTGCAGCACTGGGTGCCAGTGGTATCCTTCATTCGTTACTGACACTACATCTACATCTTCCCTGGTTCGTAATCGAAGACTTTGACGCCATTCGCCACCTCTCCAGCCAACTTCACAAAATCCTGATGGGCAGGGTCTTTGTATACGTAGTAGTCGCGGTCCTCTTCATTCTCAAACTCCACTACGAAACCATGGGTTGAGTTGCCCTGCGCATGTCAGCAGGTGTAATGGAACTTCGGGACATGACATACGCTGTGGCCTTCAGGGCTGTTGTTCTTGCCACCTGAGAAGGACTTGATGTATGGCTTCTGGGAAGTTGGATGAATGCACTGGTCTTTCAAGCCGAGCATGCGGCTACAAGCCTATGATGTATTAATATAAATGATGTATGTATAGATGGCTATGAAGGTACTTCTGAGATCTGCTCTGGTGAAGCTGTGGACTTCCACTCGAATAGTACAATGTGAATGAACGTCATCTTGAGAACAAGTCGGTACGAACAACTGATCAGGATACGAGGAGTGGTGATGGAGCGAATGGCTAAAGAGGGGCATTTAACATGGCGGGATGCACTTCGGATATAATGACCTCAGCGCTGCTAAGCTCCGGGCGAGCTGCCGCGTCGCATGGTCGACAGCGCGAACATCGCGCATCCAACGATCGACGCCAGACATCCACAGCATTCCAAATAATGAAGCTACGAACGTTATGACCCCATACAGATACGATCCTCCCAATCAATAGCTCACGATCACCTTAATCCCCAAGTAGCCGCCGCAGCCTCCCACATCCCACGTTATGTCGAATGCGCCAGCTCTCCCCGAGCAACTCATCTATCTCATCATACGCTTCACAGCCTCAGTACCGGACCTCCCACTTTCAATACATACCCCACGAACAATCGCGACCCTCTCCCTCAAACAGCTCATCCGCCAACACCTCCCGTCCGAACATGCCTCGGCGCGCCTACGCCTCATCTACGCGGGCAAAGTCCTCGCAGACACCGAGCCACTATCGAAATCCCTACGATTACCACCCCCACCGCCTCCTCGAAACACCAAGAACAGCGATGCAGTGGGAAGCGGTAGCGGCGAAGCCAGCAAGAGCAAAGGCAAACAACCCCTACGAGAAACACCCGCGATCGAATACGGCACAACAACAGACATACCCCCCTCAGCAAAAAAATACTACATCCACTGTTCCCTCGGCGACGCGCTCTCCGCCCCTGAACTCGCCAGCGAAGCCACACTCGCCCAGAACACAGAGATAGCATTGAAGTCGCATTATAGTACATCTTCCCATTTTACACCGGGACGGCGCGCAAGTAGTACGACGATAGACCACAATGCACGGAGACGTAGCTCGACGGCTACGACGAATACGGCGAATACAGTGCCGCAAGCTCAGGGGTTTGATAGATTGCTGAGTTCGGGGTTTACGAGGGATGAAATCGCTTCTCTGAGGGCGACGTTTACGCAGAACTTGTCGTTTACGCATACGCCTGATACGATGCCTACGCCCGCGCAGATCCGCATCTTGGAAGACAGATGGCTGGACTCTTCCGCCAACGATCCTTCTGCCTCGCTTACAGGCGGCGCTGGGGCGACGGGTGGTGCTGGCACGGATGCGGGCTGGGGCGCTGGGTTTGCGGTGGAAGAAGGTGGGTTGGATGATATGTTGTATGGGTATCTGACAGGTTTCTTCTTTCCGCTGGGGAGTCTGGTGTGGGGGTTTAGAGAGGAAGGGGTTTGGACGAGGAGGAGGCAGGTTGCTGTTGTTATGGGGGTTGTGCTGAATGCTGTTTTTGGGTTTATGCGGTGGGGTGGGTAGGTATGATAGGAGGAGAGGAGATGAGTGGTTGGTACGAGAGAATGATGAGGATGGTGCATTGAATCGGATCCGTTGTATACCTCTGCAAGTATATACAAGTCGACGACTTGGTCTCGATCATGAGTCTTGTCGTCTACACGACAGGTTGAAGACAAATACGCTACTTCGTCTCTCCTCATCTCTAACCCTCCCCTGCATCGCGGTATATACGCCGAGTCATCCATACATCCCCCATCAACCAAGCATACTCGTGCTACCGACTAGCATCTCACTTCTACGCGTCAGTCTCTACACGTCAGTCAACCTTCGGAACCGCGAGTTTCACCGTGACCGCATACCTGTTGTCGAGTTTCCCGTCTTGCGCCACGCTGAGTCGGAGACACATCATCAGTATTCGAGACCGAAATCCAGATCGGAGCATTCTGTGTGCCACCGCTACCAATATGTAACGCCGAATGGATGTCTCCGCTCATACCTAGCAGATATGTCAGTCTTTCAGCTCAGCCGTGGATTTTGTACATCGGGCGCATACCATCTGTGATCCAGCCTTCATGTCCTTTGTTGGCCTCTCGCGCATTCCGGCCTTCTTGACGTTGAGCCAGTCGCATGTGCTTGAATACGGAAATGATGAGGTCGTTGATGGCGGGGATGTAGAAGGATGTGATGGAGTAGAAGATGATCATAATGACCATGAGGGCGAGGAAGACCATAAAGGCGAGTTGCGGGAACATTGCTGTGTCCATTTTGGGAATCACGTTTGTGGGGTGGTTTGAGAGCGGCATATATGAGAGAGAAGTGCTTGAGCTTTGGTGTCGCGATGAGTGAGGGAAATGTTTGATATGCTGGATAGGGGCCGCGATATCTTTGACGATGTGGAAGTTATCAAACTCACTATTATTACTTGGAGATTTTGTCTGGGAACAACGAGACAAACATATCTTGACATTGTCTTCCAGCATTGGCTTGATAAGCAGTACATGCGAAAAGATTTCAACAACCTACCTCACAAGCCTACATTACCGTCACACTGGAAAAACTTTACTTTTCAAATCATTGTATACAGCAGCGCAACTTTTCGGCTTTTTCGTTGCATTCAGTAACACCTAGAACGCCATCGACGTCGTCGGCAACAACATCCATATTGACATCAGCAGATTCGCATTTTCGAGTTTGTTCAACGCATGAGAGAGTCAGATGTTCAGCTTTAGTGCTGAAGTGGTCTTAGTTTAGGAAAGTTCCTGTAGCGTGCCAACAGCGTTTCAACGGCGTCATGCAAGCGCATGCACTACGCATGTGTGGCGCAGACGCTATTGTTTCCACCATCTGCGTTGTCGACGTCCTGCAACAGGGCAACCATGGAAATCATAAGGCATGACATGGGGAGCCGGTGATAGCAGGCTGTGGTAGGGAGTCGAAGGGTGCAGTAGTAATGTTTATTTGCCGGCGGTCTATGTTCACCGTCAGCAACTCTGCATGTCAACAATGTCGCAATGACAACAGTCACCATTCAGAAGACGATTTGTGGGTATTATAGTAAGTCTGATTGAAAGCTGGGGGTATCTATGCGACAGGTCCGTGATCGATCAAGAATGATTTCCTCTCCACGACCCTTTGGCATCCATCTCTCTCAGACTGTACAAAACAAAAGGAAAAAGTGTTCGCTCAAACTCCATGCTTGCTGTTTCGTTCATTACCGCATCCATCTTCCTTGCTCGATACCGGGGGTATAGTATAGCGTATAAACATCCACACTCTCTCGTCCGAAAAGAGACAATCGCGCTCCGTCCGTTACTTTGCGAAGAGTTGTCGGCGACGAGTTGTAAGCGTATATCGTCGTGTGGTCCTGGCAATGAAGAAGTAACGGCCGTCGAGCGATCGTCGTTCGTCGTCGTAGTAGTAGTTGGGTAGTAGATATAGCGCCTTAGTAGTACCCGTATCTCCTCATGCGCCATCCTTCACAAGGGGAAGTAATGATCAGTACGGCGACATGTGGGAAACGGGTTCACACTAGACTCTACTAGTATGCGTTGTCCTCTTTCGGCCGCCGCCGCGTCCGCAGGTGAGGCAGCTGATGATGATGCCGAAGAGGGAGACGATGGCGTTGATGATTGCCTTAAGACCAGCAGCGATGGCGTTGACAATGGCCATGATGCAGTTTCCGATGGTGCGGAACTAGATAATGTTAGGAACAGTTTGTATGGGCAGGCAAGAGAGGGATACGTACGACCGACTTGATGCAAGAGACGACGGCACCCATGATAGCGGTGTTGTTCTGGTGAAGGCTTTGGTGGTGTAGTGGATGGAGGACTCGAGGTAGGGAGGCGAGTGTTCGTAGGTTCGTTGGTAGATGGTATGGTTTGGGGAGAGTGTGGTATCACAACAAAGGGCTTTGAGCCCTCTCACTTATAAGCAGCCGCGAGCCAGGCGCCGGAACAACGACCGCCCTTGCACAACCGCTACGTCACGCGGCGTCCGTGCCCCCTTGTCCTCCAGATCCTTCACCTCAATCTTTGGCCTGCGTAACGAAATTTCCCGACTCAAACTCCATTCCTGCAGGTGACTGTGCTGCGTCTGCAAACAGCCAAGCTCGCAACGTCAGCGGGAAAAGTCAGGTTTGCGCCAACCAAGCCGCCCGATGCGGCAAGGATGGGCGACGGACGCGCTCAAAGCAGTCGCGCAAAACAGGGTTGGCCCTGCGACGTCGTCGTCGGGTGTGGGTCGCGCGCCACAACCTTAAAGAGCGCCGACGTCACTGCCCGTCCCTGATGCAGTAGCGATCGCAGCCTGCGCGTGGCTGGGCCCATGGGCAACGCAATGCCCTCCTCTCACGATCGCGATGACTTTGCCATGGCAGCCCCCGAAGCAGGTAGACCGACTTTTGATAAGCCCATGCTGCTGATTTGGTGCGGCCACACTACCGCTGCTCGACGTTGTGCGACGCCAGACCACCGTTATCGTGCCAACCACGCCTGCCCGCCCACCTCCTTCTCCTCACCTGTAGCCATCATCCACCCATATTTGATCACCCCAGATGCTCTTATCCGGCATGGCTCCACCGTTGCAAGATTCCATGTCCGTGTCCGTAACTGTGACGTAGCCATCTGTGGCGGCCCATCTAATTCTCTTCCGCATCCTTGCACAGAACAGCGGCTCCAAATCTCCACTGCCTTCTCCAGCCGCTCTCTCGCCTCGTTGATGAAGTGACGCCACAGCTCAAACACGCGTGCGTGGGTCATCCACCCATATTGACATCAGTCCGTCAGGCAATCTCAGCAAACAGGGCAACGGCACGCGGGCCACATGGGTTTTCGTCCCAACGTCTCACCACCTTTTTGCAAACCCATGTTATCATCCGTACCGCGGAAGCTAGTCTTTCCAAGCAACTGCAAGCAAGAATCGTGGTCTAGACTGCCCGACCGCATGCTCATATCGCTTGGAGGCCATGGCATCTTTCCAAGGCATCTGCTGGAAATAGCACGGCTAACCTGGCACATCGGAATTAACACCAAAACACGATCTTGGATCGGACCCTCGATGCCCAGAACCGCAATCTTGCTTTCAATCTCCATGTCCCTCTGTCGTGGAGATTAAACATTAAGCAGAGCGGCTGGGAGCCGACATGGCGAGTGGGCGTTTCAGGATTTATTGTTTTGCACCCATGTTTGCGGTGAGAAGGTTTAGCGCTGGCGTTGTCCCTTGGTCTGGTGTGGCTGGTGACGCGCCGTCGCAATGTCTGACATCGGACTTCTGCGCACAAGGAGCGGGCCGCCGGTCGACGCTCGAGGAAAAAAGTTGGTACAAGTGGAGTCTAACCGGCCAACACCACACATCACGCATGCATGCACCAACCTCACCAAAGGTAGCATAGCCCACCATCAGCGACGCAGTGTTTCATCATCATCGTTGTTCCATTATGCGCATTGCCACTCCCGCCTTCGTCTAGCTACTGTCCGGCTTTGTTCGTTATTCATACACTTCGTAAACATGCCGTATCCAACATCCTAAATCAAGCGCCGAGATGCTCTTTCTCCCGTCGCGAAGCCATGCAGATACTGCTAACGTCATGCTGCTGAGGAAAATGGAAAAGGAAATGTCGTCTGCTTGTTGCTGTGGGTATATGGGTTGTTGTCGAAGAATCATGGGCATCAGTGGGTATTCATTGCTGATGCTGTGTTGAAAGACCAATACAGATGTGCCGAAGCGATGTTCGATGATCGATGCGATGTTTCACGAAAATTCATTGAGCTCTTCACCTCATACAAGAAAAAACCCGAACAGGTCGAGAGCATACGTCGACGCCAGGTCACCTATCTTGAAGGTTTTCATGTTGATGTAGGCTGCAGGCCTGTTCGGTTTTTTTCTTGGTTGACGTGTCTCCATATACCGTCGTATCATACTGTGGTAGGCTGATCGAAAGCTGTTGCGTGAGGATGTACTCGGCGTATAGGTCTCTGCTGCTGCTGATGTTGGTGCTATGGCTGCTCCGTATGATTCTGGGCTCAGTTTGCATTTTTGTTCTTCGGAACGGGAGGTATAGTAGTCTCCTCGGTGATCCTAGTATCCAGTCTGGGCCTCGAGCTCGATCGTGAGACTAATCTCATTCGACTTGTTGCTTGCTTATCCGGGGTGGCGACATTGCCTGCGTCCGAGAGCGCCGAAGAAGAAAGAGCTGGAGTCATGGGCCCTTCAGGATGAATGCCAAGTGGACTTGGATACGTATCGATCGTCTCATGACTTTGCTTGGGAGTCTTCATATGAGCTTCGCTCAAAGCCCTGTGGCGTCCGGGACTCATCGAATCGCTGTACCCGTGTCTGCTCCAGTTGGGGCGATACAGGCGAGCCGCTTTGGGTAGACTTGAGTAAGATGCTTGCGACTGGAGAGTTGCACTCCTGTGCCGTTGGGTGGGCCGGTCTGTGGGAGTATCGTGACTTTGCTCAGGTAGCAAGAGTTCGGACGTCGCATGATCGCTGTCCATCTCTCGCATGAACTCGTCATCCTCGTCCTCAACCTTGGCTATCCGCTTCACATGTCTTACTTCAAAGTACGGTGTCTTCGGCAACTCTGGCATCGAGTTAATCGACACCGCACGTGGTCGCGGAATGTCTTGCACTGCGAAATCGATATGCGCAAAGTACTTCTCACGCATTGGGTTCCAGCTCAACGGCGCCATTTGTTCGCGGTTCCGCAACATGGACAGGTAGCTTGAGACAGCGCCGATCAGGATCAAAATCATCACGGCCACTGTCAGGAGACCTTGGATGACGATTATGATGATGCCAATAACGGTTGTAGGGATACGAGCGACACCAAACCGTGTATCAAAGGCTGCTGAAAGACCTGTAGTAGTAATCTTGCTCAAGCCGAGAAGATACACGGCCAAAACGTTCAGGCGCTGTCCTTCGAATGGTCGAAGAATGATGAAGGCGATGAAGGCAACAATCTCAACGGCAAGTAGACCGAATACCTGGACGAAGGGCTGGGTAGATGCGCCGGCAAGGAAGCATGCTCGAACGAATTCGTAGAACAGCCAAATGACGAAGAACCACCAACGAGTTTTCCTATAGCGGGAGGCGAGCCAGCCAAATCTTGTCGTGTACTGCTCGTCATCATGGATTGATGTGGTATCTGCCGTGGCATGTATTGTCCACCAAGGAACTGAACCGATGTAGACCTCGTCTTCGGAGCGCGGAATCTTGCTATTTCTGGAAATACTAAACCACGGAATGATCTTGTGTAGTCTTCGTTTGGCTATGTTCAGCCGGTCGGGCTCAGAGGCATACTTGCCAATTCGAAGTCTGGAGAAACAAGCGTAGGCGGCGATGCTGCCTATGCCAAATACTACGACGAAGAAGGCAGCACAAGCGACTGCAACAGGACCGGAAAGAGCGAGGTAGGAGAACTGGAACATGGCCAGGAATGTCAGCATGTAAAATCCGATGAAGATTGTCCGCAGGATGGTCGACAGAGCAAAGGCAAGGTAATGGCTTCGGAAAAAGGCGAGGCGGTCCTTTTTGACAACGCGTATGCTACCCAAGCCTTCGAGGACAGCTTTCAGGGAGAGTACAGAGACAACACCACATGCGATCAAGATTAAGAACCAGAGCAGTCCGGTCATGAATGCGTTGCTTGCCGGAATGTGTTCCGTCGCAAGGGTACCAGCAAATCCAGAATAGTTGCCCGGAAGTGGCAGTCCAGGCTTTACGGGCAGCCCGTAATATTTGAATCCGCTATTCACATCGACGAGATGGCGCTTGGCTAGGGCAGCTTGGAACTTCAGATCTTGAGGAATAGCGTCTCGTTTGTATATTTGGTGGATGTCGACCCCTCCTCCAAGATGAGGATTGCTTTCGCCCGTACCTGCGGCGCCGACATGCGATGTATTTCCTTTGTTCGAGCCGATAAAATCGTTGATCGTGTTCTGCATTGACTCGGAGTAGATCATACCCCCAGCCCAGGCATAGTTGCTCCAGAAGGCCACGAGGACGCTCGGCCAGTTCACTGATAACGCCCCGCTGTAGAAGATGTGGTGCCATACCGCGAAGACCACAGACACTGACAGCGAGTGGGCGTAATGCTTGCGCATGTCGACGATGTTGGATCCGTAGGCGGCTGTAGCGAAGGAGGAAACGACGGCTATGAGAGTGAATAGCCCTAGCGTTGTGCCCACTGAGCTCTTCTGCTGGAATGTGAAGCCGTTGGTGATCTGGGCCGCGAAACAGCCGATCTGTCAAGCTGTTAGCACGAATACGAATAGTAAGATGTCTGAGCACCGCGTTGGCAAAGCATAGCAAGGGAGCTACATACTAGTAATAAGTTAGCAAGATATCTTGAGAGCTATTCGTGGCGGCTACTTACCCTCGTTCTGTGTGGAGTTGGAGAACAGTCGCAGGATGGCCTGGCCTTCGAAGTCGGGAATGCTCAACGCAATCTCCGGGATCCCTGCGACGTCGTCTTGATTGATCGGTATGATGCCCGCCGCCTCGATGGGAACGCCGGCTTTGACGGGGCAAGCGCTGAGTATGTTGGCGTCGCAGGGGTTGAAGGTCAGGTCGAATCGACTCTCGCCGTACGCATAAACGCCGATATTCATCATAATGTCTTCTCTTCGGAGCCCAGTCTCGCCTTCCAGGTGAAAGATGATGGTCATGTTGTCTTTGTAGTAGGCTGCGTCGAACCGTGTAACGTTGATGGCGCTCTTGCCTAGGCAGTCGCCATAGTCGGCAGTGTAGAGAGATGGCTGTCTGTCGTCTCTGACTTGCCATTTGTCGCCATCGATGATTCCAACCACCCATGTACCGTCTTTGTCTACGTTGACGGAGCCGACCGGGGTGGTGAGCAGCAGGCCGGCTGCCAACAGAGCTTGAGTGCACCCTCGTAGATACATGTCGCCTGGACGTGTGAGAACGGATCTCAAGGTCTTGTTGTCGTTTGTAAACGTATTGTTCGGGGTGTCGGTAGAACGACCGGAGTCTGTGATTGACCGCGATACGGGAAACGAAGGTCGGGGAGAGCAAGGATAGTCGGATCAGGATGTCGGGGTGCAGATGTGTAGTGGTGCGACCAGACGCAGCATCGCAGAGGCCTAGGCAACAACAGCGAGAGAGAGGTGAAGAGTGCAAACAGGGTGGTGAGTGTGAGTTGAACCATGCAAGCATAGTCTGGCGGGTGCTGGCAGGTGCAATGAAGCAGGAGCCACTAGCCACCAGGCAAGCACGTTCCGATGTAGCAAGCGCGATCTTTTTGCATTCACAGATCGCCTAATCTGGCAATCACTTCCAGGACCTAACTGTGTACATGAATATACTCACACAGCCTCCAGTCATTTCATTGACATTGAAGTTCCGACCCGATTACATGGTCATCGCATAGGATGTAGGAGCAGCAGGTACGATGCGCTAAGCTTTTTGACCTGCGTTAGTGCCGGTCTAGCGCGCCACTATGGGAGCCGTGGTGAAGGTGCCTTTGTATGCGAGCATTCGGTACCAGAAGCATCTCTGAACGTGTCAACAAGACGTGAAATTGTGTCTGTATCCAGGCTAGTACAGGGTCCAGGTCAAGGCTAGAGAGCCGAGCTCGACGTACTCAGCTTGCGGTATGAGGTACGGGCTGGGAGAAGAGTACATAGCTCGACAAATTGCTCGATCTTTCACATACGACCATAGGACAATGAGAATTAGGCTTCCCGTCCGCTCAGCCATATACAAGCATTGTACCGGCGGATTAGTAGTTAGGTGGGTGACCACTAGCGAATCCCCGCTGTTGTATGTTTTTGTTCTTTTTGCCGTGGTCTTGAAATGTAGGCGTGGACCTCGAAGCTATCTTTTTGCTTGATGTGGTACGCGGCATGTGTAGGGTGAGGGGTCTGCTTTGTTCCTTTTTGCCCATGCAAGTGAACATCCGTCTCTTTTTGTAACATGGAGCGGTGTTTCTTGCTTGATCAGACGTGCTGCGAGCCCAGGTATCGTGACATCTCTTGTGACCTTTTTGGTCTCATCATTTCGCTATTGGGTATCTCAGCTTGCGTGTCGACTCCTAAGTATCCCATCAAGTCAGATCCCTTCCGTCCATCTCGGGCCTTCTCTTATCTTATCACTAGTACGAGGGCACTACCTTATACAAGAGGAAATCTGAACAGGCCTGCAGCCTACATCTAGACAAAATCATCTAAAATAGATGATCTAACGTCAACGTAGGCTCCAGGGTGTTCAGGTTTTTCCTTGAACGAGGTGCCACCGCAACCCCTCAGACCATGAGGCTACCTCCATTGAACGTGCCCTTGGCCTTGACACAAAGGTCCCCACCGACACTCTCCAGCGTCGCAACAATCTCCTGCTTATGTCTCGACGCGTCAATCTTCTTCGTCAAATCCTTCTGCGGCGACAACCATCCCAACCAGCTCTTTGTAGGTTCCGCTTCGGGTTCTGGCGGCGGCTCGGATTGAGGGAGGTCAGGTTTCGAGAAGGAGGCACGAAGGATGTAGAAGTCGAGGCTGTAGGTTGGTTTGGCGTAGGTTAGGCTGAGAGAGTCTGGACGGTGAACTGGTTCTATCTTAAGTGTTAGTATGAGGCCACTCTCTGAGTTACTGGAGACGGTATACACACCCACAATGCCATCTGGTCCTCTGACCATCCTCGCCATGATCTCTTCAAAGATGGTTGCGATAGCCCCACCATGCGCAACACCGGGCCACCCACTCATTCCTCCTCCTATCCAGACCACAGCCACCATCTCTTTTGTTTCGGCACTCCAGAACGCTCTTTGCACACCCAATCCTCGCGTGCCACTCATGACGCCCAATATGCCTTTCTTGCCCTCATTCTCTCTGCCAAAGTCCAGATCCAGCTCGAGCCACCCTTTGTACGCTGATATCTTCCGACTTGATCCAGGAGATGACGTTATTCCCGGTCCTGACCGAAGCGCTGTGTCGGTATGTAGGTTGTATGACTGAGAGCGCAAGGATTGCACGATTTCGAGAGCATCGATGTCGCGCCGCAGAGAGTCAAGGATGATCTCGTCTTCTCTTGAGCCGGGCTCTGGAAGACCGAGAGGCGCGGCAAAGTGGCGAGCACCTAGACCAGTTGTGATGCCGAGGGCGAGTATGCTGGCGTACCAGAAGTATGACCAGCGGATGCGAGATTGGAGGGGGAGGGGAACATCGCGATGCGCATGGTAGCTGGAGGAGCGGAAGGTTCGGCTGGCGGATTGGCAGGATTGTTTGAAAGGTGCGCGATTGAGAACGATGCGCGCTCGTGACATGCTGACCGCCGGCTGCAGGTAACAATTGCTGAGAGATCTGGGAGGCTTCGATGATGGAGATATCGCGATATGGTGGCAGGGATCACTTCACCGAGGCTGAAGGTTAGTGGCTTGGCATTGGCGAACACCTGGACTTCGCGTCCTGCCTTATCAACACCATCGTTGAGTGCGCGTCGTTTTCGGGCTGTGAACGCGACGATGCCTGCACCGCAAGCACTCTCCATATTGTCACCCTTGAGGCCTTCGCGCGTCTTGTCATGGTTCACTTCGATCAAAACACATCGCGAATAGCTGCGCTTCGCGTAGAATCTTGCGCGCCCTAGAGCATGCATGTCTTCGTTTATCCCGCGGCGTAGATTCTGATACCGCACATCCTCCCCATGCGTTAACCCTCATGGATTCCGATCCTCAACATGGACAACGTCCAACTCCTCCACCTTAACACCATGGAACATGCGAACCTGCTCTGCTTAGCCTCGAAACCTCCGCGTTGACACCCTCATAGGACGGACACCACGTACATTCATCCCTAGCAGATCTGGCGGCGCTTCTCCAAACTCGCCCATCCTAGAATCAAGCCAGACTGCACTCCCACACCTACTACAGGACCTATGCAGAACCCTCTTGACACCAAATGAATAGTCTCTCAACATGTTCTCACCGCTCTTTACTTGTAGCTGCGACCGTTCGGGGTACACGAGCAAGTAGCCGTTGCGCGTGCAGATGCTGCAGTTGCACGATACAACCTTCCACTGGGCCAGCGGCGGCGACAGTAGAACTGAGTACTGTACGCTACCGCAGTGGCAACTCGCTGCGTAGGTCTGACAATTTTGCGGGTCGAACGCTGGAAGAGGAGGTTTGGTAGGTGAGGATTCGGTCATGGTTGATGGTGTTGGTTGTGCAAAAGGTGGGGTTGGAGTATAGCTGTTGAGTAGGGTAAGTTGATCCTCAGAGTGAAGCGCAATGCTACATATACTTTGTTTGATATAGGTACGAGAAGGAGACCGGCGCGGATTTTTGTCGTTGCAAGACGGGAGCTATCGGTGGGCGAAGAGGTAGGCTAGATGGGAAGAAGTCTCCGAATCCGCTTTCCGGCGAGTATATGTCTCCGATGTCGTTGGTGTCGTTAAACATACGGAAGGATGCTACCGACGATAGCTCAATGCGGTGGTACGAACGAGTGTTATACTGCGTCATCGTCTAACACCTTTCGCCGATTCACAGCACTATGAGTTCTATAGGGGCCTCACATGGCCTACCAAAGATACCGCGTAGTAGTATAAGCTGTTGGCTATGGCGTTGACACTCTAAAGTCAAACTATACAGCTACACTAAGACTATCAGCACAAGCAAATAGCATTCTGGAAGGTTCAATTACATCGCGAGCATCAACGAGATGTTACAGCTACTCGGTTCATGGAACCACGACTACAAGAAACGACTACACTCTCAACTAACGAAATTACAGTTACATCGTCATGACCCTTTCACAAGCCCCGTCGCTCCTCGGAGTGGCTCAGCCATCCCCCGAAATCTCGTCCTACCATGCAATATATCTCGCACCACCCATTCCCAAAAAGCAAAAGCAACACGACGAAACACATTGCACCACCCACCCACATACAAATACACAAAAGACGCATGTTTCACCGCTTCCGGCATTTACGCCAGCTCAAGCGCCTCCCACTCTAGTGCTTCCCACCATTCCCAGCGATCCTGACCGATGGTAACACAAACGATCTCGTGCCACTTCACTCCGTATCGCCCATCGATTCTGGTGTGGTGTTATGCATGAGTCCACGAAGGCGGCCACGGTTTCACGAGATATGAGCGTAACAGGTGCGAGGTGGTACGGTGGAGGCAGGTGGTGGAAGTGAGGCAACGGGTTTGTGTGAGGGGTGGGCCGTGGACTCCGATTGGTGTCTTGGGTCGGAGATGATGGGTGGTGGGTGGCGGTTGAGTGAAGCGTTCAGATGCGATGTTTGGTAGGAGATTTGGGGGTATGGATACGGTAGGCTGTACAAGGAAGGTTGGGTTGGGAGGGGGGGCCTGGTTTTTGGATTGGATGGGTGACATCGGAAGAATGGAGGTGGGAGGAATGGGGTCATCAAGGGTGTCACGCGGTTGAGTTGGTGGTCTTGTCTTGAAGATGAGCGTTGTGGAAATATGAGTTACAGGTTCAATTATGAGCGAGCATTGCGTACTGCGAACACGACCGCGAAAAGTTTAAGATGAGATGGCATTCACAATGGAGTACTCCAGTCAACGTACTTTACCACCATGCCAACATGCAGCTAGCGCAACATCTTCTCGGTGCGCAAAACCCTTACCTCAAGGATACGTTCTCCTCGTATCTCAGTCTCTGCTACCTCTCTTCAAAAGTTGCCGACTTCGAGTACATATTCCTTCGCCCCTGAGAGATCAAAACTGGCGTTTGCAGAATTCATGGGAGCGTCTCGACCATCGCTTGACTTCGAAAGGCTCCAGACCAGCTGCTCCAATATCAATTCACTGGTCCAGTTCTTTCCCTGTTCTCATTCATGACAATACCACCAAAAGCTTCTTACTTCGAAAATCAGATCAAGAAGACTGCATGTCCTCCTCCCTGTAGGACTCCAAAGCAATGAT